GGCCGCCTCCTGGCCCGGACGAGAGAAACCCTGAGAAGGGAGAGCGCTGCAGCCACGTGGCCCGCCCAGCCCGGGAGCTCAGGTCATCAAATAGACGAAGTTAGCCGCCGCCTGGGCAGAAAAGGGGGTGTCCACAGGACCATGGCCTGGCCTGGTCCCCGGGCCGCGGTCAAACCCTCCTCCCCCACCCCCCTTGTCCTCGCCGGCTGGAGATCAAACGGGTGACCAGACAGCTGTCTTCCCAGTCTGCCCGGGGGTTTCAGGTCCTGCCCTGGGCCTGGGCGAGGAGCAGTGGGGTTGGGGGCAGCTTTTCTGTAGGTGGCAGGAATTGGGGGGGGGGCGGGAACTGGGGAACCCGAGTATCTTTGGAGATCCGGCCACACCTACTTCTGGGTCAGCGCGCACAAGTTCCTGTCCCACGTGGCGCACCCCTGCCCAGGTACCCCCACACTTCCCACAGACCCTGGCCTTAGAGGGGGGAGTTAAAGGGGCGAGGTGGTGGGAGCACACGGATTCGGGTGAATACTATTTCCAGAATGAGACTCAAACCAGGTCTCAGGTTCCTCTCCCCCCCCCCTTCCCCCCAGTATGCTCTTAACTGTCTTCTCTTAGTAGCTCTTATTTTGTCCACTTCGCAGGACAAAATATCAGGACTTATATGGAGGCATTTTTTTTGGAAGTTTGACCCCAATCCCCCAATAAAATAAAAAGTAACAACAACCAAGCTCTTTTCCAGGGAGACGAAGCAATTGACCATCACCCCCAGTCGCGGGGCCCGCCCCAACTCTCCAAGAACTTTCGGTGGGTGTGGGTGCGTGCGCGTGGGGACTGGCCTTGATTCAACTTCCACACACACTGCACTCCTCCCCCCTTCTCAGGGGGTCCTGCTCCCTGGAGGGGAGGAGGGACAAGAGGATTTTAAAATTTTATTAAAAAATGTCCTGCCCATCGTCCCCTCCCTCCCCGCTTTGCGCTCCCAGTGCAAGGGGAGGAGGGTCCTGACAAACAAGCCGTTTGCACGTGTGGCCGGCCTGGACTGTGGGTGTGCACGAGAGAGAGAGAGAGAGAGAGAGAGAGAGAGAGAGAGAGAGAGAGAGAATGGTGTGCTTTCTTGTTCTCTTACAGGGTACAATGTTAAAAAGCCACCGCTAGTCGCCCCCAGTGCTCCGACTCTCTGGGTCTTTTTGTCTCTCTAGTGCAGATTAAACGTCACGTCCGCACTTGAACTTGAATTTTATCCCATTGTACAGAGGCAGCCCCAGCCATAGAGAGACCGAGAGCTCCCAGAGAACCCGGACTCCGCCATCTTCACGTTGCAATCTATAGCTCCCAGTCCGCGCCCGCACCGACCCAGGCGCACTGGGCGAG